CCTAGCACCATGCAAGTTGTTGTGAGCTTACGTGCTCGAACCACCCTGGAGGTGTTCAAGGCCAGGCTGGATGAGGCTCTGAGCAACCTGGGCTGGTGGGAGGTGTCCCTGCCCATGGCAGGGGGTGGCACTGGGTGATCTTGAAGGTCGCTTCCAACCCAAAACATTCTGGGATTCTATGAGATGGAGGCCGGGCTGGGGTGGGAGCACAGGAGCTGGGATGGTGGTGGGGATCAGAGGGGCTCAGCAGAGGCTTTTGGGGAGCTGGGGGTGGCAGGAGGAGGTGTGGGGTGCAGTGGGCAGAGCTGAGCCTGGGAGCACCCAGCCAGCTGCCCCCTCAATGACTCTTTGCAGACTGGCGCGGGGAAGACATACACCATGGGCACTGGCTTCGACATGAACGTCTCTGAGGATGAGCAGGGCATCATCCCGCGGGCCATTGGCCACCTCTTCAGTGGCATCGAGGAGCGCAAGCGGGCAGCACAGAGTCAGGGCGTGGCAGCACCCGAGTTCAAAGTCAGCGCCCAGTTCCTGGAGGTGGGTGACAATGGTTCTGGGTGACACTGTGGCTCTGCCCTGTCCTTTGGTCACCTCCCATGTCCTGGGGTTCTCGAGTCCTCTGTGTCCCAGCTGCTCCCTGCCTGAGCTGGACCCCACAGCAGGCCTGGGGCCGGGGATGTGTGCCAGGGCAGAGGAGACTTGAAACAGCCAAATGTTGTTGACTTCAGGATGGCCACAAACTGGGGGTGACACTTTCTTGGCTGCAGGGAGCCCCCTGCCATGGAGAAGGGGGGCTTATGCGTTGGTCCTCTGGAGCTTCAGGGGACTCTGGGCTTGATTCCTCCTGTTTGAGGTCGAGGATAGAAGCGTACCCTCTCTCCTCATTCTGGAGCAGTGTTCCCAGTGAAACAAGGAGAGGAAAAAGTGCCATTCTTGTAGGGGTTTGAGGAAGGCCTGTGTTATTTCCCATGTCCTTTGTTGCATCTTTGACCTTGAGAATGCTTCATTGCATCCTCTCCCGCCTCTGCTTTGGCCTCTCCATTTCAAAAGCCTCTTCTGTTAACTGCTTCTTTCCCTGGAGAGGTTTGTCCCAGAAAGCCTGTGGCCCTGGTGTGTCTGCAGCGGTTTCCCTGGGGACTGGTCCTGGGGTGGGAGGGCAAAGAAGTTCAAGATGGGAACTGGTTTAAGGCCTTGGTGAGAAAACATAGGGTGGTGCTGAGCAAAGCTGAGCTCCTGAACAAACTTCATCTGGTTGGGGTCCCAATCTGGGGTACAGCCCAAAGGAGGCGGGCAGGCAGAGAGAAGAGACCCTGTGCTGTCATCTGACCTCCAGATGACTTTGGTGGCCATCACAGCTGTGTTCCTCCTGAAGTCGATGGCCTGGAGAGGGGAAGCAGTGCCCAAAGTCACCTCCTAGCCTGGAGGGCTGACCTCCTTGCCAGAGAAATCCGTCCCAAGCAGTTTTCCATCTGCAGCGTCCCTGTGAGCTCCCACGGTGCTGTGGTGTCCGGCAAGGTCCTTCCCTCCCCACCGCTCTGCCTGTCCGAGCTCCCGGCTTCCTTCCCGCGCATCCTGGGCCTCTGGGGAACTCTGGGCTTTGCTCTGGGGAACCAGTGGGTTGGGACGGAAATGGGGACAATTTCCTGCCTGTTCTGAAGTCCTTATGGGGGATGAACCTTGTCAGGCTTTCTTCCCGCTGGAGAGTCCCCAGCCCTGTTGGGGCCAGGGCACAGACCTGCCTTCCCTGGGCTATCAGATCAGATACTGCCCTTCAGCCCAATGTGTGTCCCCTCACCCTATGTGACACACTTTCCCTCTCAGCCCCCCGGATCTGCCCTCTAGGAGATCCTCTGCTGTCCAGCTGTAGTTTCCCTTGCCTCAGTTTCTCCTTTTCAGTTTGGGGTGACCCGACACTGTCCGGAGGAGCTGGGTGACCTGTTAGCTGGAGTTGGGACACATGAGGGATGAACCCTGGGGAGGGGAAACCTGTGCTGCCCGTGTCCCAGGCCAGCCTAGGAAGCATCTCTGCAGACCAAGAGGTCCAGCCCAACCAGGGGCACCTGGGGGTGCTGGCGCAGTGGCCCTGCATGGGGTCACACCAGCTGCCGTGGGGGTTTCCTGTAGCGTTTCTTTTCCCCACATCTGACCCTTGGTGGTTTTGTCTCTTAAAATAGCCTCAGAGATGTTTGGCCGGTGCCTGCAGAGGATAGGAACAAGACTTCCTCTGCTCTGTTTCAAAGCCACTCATGGTCACGCTCCTCAGGCCAGCCGTGCCCCGGGGGACACTTGCAGCCCCAGGGTAGGGGCACCTCTGATAGCTGGGGGGGCTTGAAGGCTTTCCAAGGGCTGTGTTACATGTGCAGAGAATAAAAACCTGTTGCCTGATGGCCCGGTGACCAAGGCCATTGGAGCCTGTCGAGGGCTTTGCCCACTGTCCACCCTACAGGCATGGACATCAGACCCGCAGCTCCTGTGCCACTGCCCCGAGACCCGTCCTACGGCCCCCCCTGTCCAGGCAGCCTGGGGAGGGCTTTGGGGCGATAATGGCTCTGCTGTGCCAGCGTGGGCACGTGGCCACGGCAGACGCTGGTTACCAACCCTGCTGTCCTGGCAGTGGTGCAGGATTTGTCCCTGCTGATCCCCGTCCTGTGACAGTCCTGGGAGCAGGCTGTCAGAGCTGGGTTTAAACCCTCGGGGAGCCTGTTGGCACCTGGGGCACCCAGGGATGGATTAGCCTGATCCGCTCCGCTGGCCAGGAGCCCGCGGTCCTGGGGTGACCCTGCTCCCTGTGCTGGGATGTGGGTGTCAGGGGGTGATGTGTGGCACTGAGTGGATGGGCAGGGGTGAGAGGGGATGCTGCAGGGTCCAGGTACAGATGGGGGCATGCACACCAGCTCTCCTGGGCAGCCTTGCCTAAGCACGCACATGTGTGAGCACGCACGTGTACATGCGTGTGAGCACACGCGTACCCCAAGCTGTGCGGCCGGTCCTCTGGGCTCTCAGGACTGCAGCAACGGGGTGGCAGAAGGCAGCTCCTGTTGCTCCCACTGTGCTGGGCTCCAGCAGCCTCCTGCTTACCGCTACTCGCCCCATAACTGCTTCCACCCTGCTCAGCTCTACAACGAGGAGATCCTGGACCTATTTGACAGTGCCCGCGACCCTGACGCACGCCACCGCAAATCCAACATCAAAATCCACGAAGATGCCAGTGGGAACATCTACACCACAGGGGTCACGTCGCGCCTCATCAGCTCGCAGGATGAGGTGGGTGCAGGATGTGGCAGACATGGAGGAGGGATGGCAGCTGGGTGCCTGCTGGCCAGGGATGTGCTATGTGGGGACAGCCAGGCGAGGAGGGGGATTTCACCTGGGACTGGACAGAGCAGCCCTGGGGTTGCTGTAGTTTGACCCTGGCTGGGAGCCAAACTCAGCAACTGCTCGCTCAACCCTTCCCCCTCGCCCCTCCCAGGGATGGGGGAGAGAATTAAAGGGGCAAAGGGAAAAGAGACTTGGGGGTTGAGATAAGAACAATTTAATAACTAAACTGCAATAATATTGGAAATAATAATAATGATGATAATAATATATACAAATACAAAAATGAGTGACACACAGTGACACTGCTCATCACCCAATGACCCGTTCCTGGCTAATGATCCCGGAGCAGGGAGAGTCCTGAAACCACAATCCCAGAACAGAGATAAGAGCTTGAGTGTCCGAGAGACCGAGACAACCCTGAGAGAGGGGCAACCTAGAAGGAGACAACCCGGAGCAAGAGAGCGAGCTTCCAGACAAAGCCTCACCTCTCTCCTGGCCACGCCGGGCATGGGATGGAACAGACCACTGGCCAGTTTGGTCTCAGTCCTAACCCTGAGGTCGAATCCTGGGCTGGTCACTGGGGCTGTGCTCCCTCCCAGCTCCTCCTGCCCCTGCAGACACGGGCACAGCAGAGAAGCTGGAAATTCCTTGACTGTCCTGGCAGCAGCTCTGCCCATCGGTGTGTGATCAGCTTCTCCTCAGCACAAACCCCAACAGCCTCACACTGGCTGCTGGGGAGAAAGTTAACCCTGTCCCAGCTAAACAAGGACAGGGGTGATGTGGGGAGAGGTCGGTGTGCCTGCAGCAGGGTGCTGTCCTGACCCACCAGCAGAAGGCTTCAAGGTTTCATTCTTCCCTGCCCTATGTCGTTGCAGCTGATCCAGTGCCTAAAGCAGGGGGCTCTTTCCCGCACCACCGCCAGCACCCAAATGAACGTGCAGAGCTCCCGGTCCCACGCCATCTTCACCATCAACCTGTGCCAGATGAGAGTGTGCACCCGCCCGGAGCTGGTGAGATGTCCTCCTGCCTCCTGGCTGGGCCTTTCCTGGGTCCGATACCCAGACGATGTGGGGGGGCTCCCTTGGAAAGGGGAGAGGGTTTGAAGTCTTGCAAAGAGAGGCAGGGCTTTGTCTTGCTTCTTTCCAGACATAGGGAGGGAACTGGGGTTGTTTAGTGTGGAGAAGAGGAGGCTGAGAGGAGACCTCATCACTCTCTACAACTGCCTGAAAGGAGGGTGCAGTGAGGGGGGTGCTGGCCTCTTCTCTAAAGTAACAAGTGATGGGACAAGAGGAAATGGCCTCGAGTTGCACCAGGGGAGGCTTAGGCTGGATATTAGGAAAAATTTCTTCACTGCAAGAGTGATCAGGCATTGGAACAGGCTGCCCAGGGAAGTGGTGGAGTCACCATCCCTGGAGGGGTTCAAGAAACACGTAGATGTGGTGCTTTGGGACATGGTTTAGTGAGTTAGGTGGTGTTGGGTTGGACTTGATGATCCTTGAGGTCTTTTCCAGCCTTTATGATTCTATGATAGCCAGCGTTAGCATTTAATGGGAGCTGAGGTCTGCCCTGGAGCAGCCCCATCCAAGGCAGGGATGGTCTGACCCAAGGGATGGCCCAGAGCAAGCTCCTGTTGGGATCATCTCCCCCATCCTTGAGGGGCTGGCTGTGGTGGGTGAATGCTCGGGCTTTTGCTGATGGCTGAGTGCAGCCAAGGTTGCTCCTGCCTGCTCCGGGTCCATGGTGGTGACCCTCTCCATGTGTGCCTGGCCACAGGTGAACGAGGAGGGGACCAGCCTCCTGGATGGAGCCCAGCCCACCACCGAGTATGAGACCCTCACGGCCAAGTTTCACTTCGTCGACCTGGCTGGCTCAGAGAGGCTGAAGCGAACGGGTGCTACGGGCGAGAGAGCAAAGGAAGGCATCTCCATCAACTGTGGGCTGGTACGGGCCCAGGCGCCGGCGCGCGAGGGGAGGCAGGGCCTGCCTGGGGGAGCCTGGGCCACCTTTGGGTCCTGCTTGGAGCTGCTCTGGGCTGTTGGGGTTGCTGCTGGCTTTGCTGGGGTTTATGCTCCCTGGCCCTGTAAGCAGGAATATGTACAATCCAAAGTGCCAGTGGTGAGGGCACAGCTCTGCTGCTGAGGGCAGGGTGGTGGGGAGAGGTACAGCTGGGCACAACCGTGCAAGTCCCTGAAAGCTCAAGGTCTGCTAACATGAGCTTAAAAATGCTCCAGGGCTTGGTGCTGCTCCTCTGTGCGTGTGGGAGAGAGGCACAGCCTGGGGAAGTGGGGAGAATGCCAAGACTGGCAAGGGAAGCCCCGTACCTCCAGCTCTTGTGCCCCAAACCTGCACCGCAGCACGTGCCCCAGCCCTGACGTGCTGGCTACGTGACAGCTCTGTTCTGAGTTAGCGGGTTGCCTTTCCTTTGTGTTGGTAGCTGGCCTTGGGGAATGTCATTAGTGCCCTCGGAGACCAGAGCAAGAAAGTTGTGCACGTGCCCTACCGTGACTCTAAGCTCACCCGCCTGCTGCAGGATTCCCTCGGGGGCAACAGGTAAGGGGGTCCCAGGCCGGGGCTGTCCCCCTGCAAATAGGGATGAGGGTCTATGGAGCCATGCAGGAGCTATTTCATCACTCAAATGCCTCACAGGTTGCCTGGTAGGGAGGGGGTGCCTCCTGGCAGGCAGTGCCTGACTTTGCGGATGTGAAGACCTTGGCTGCTCATGAGTCCCAGGCACAATTAGCCAGCTTTGGTGGAATTAGCTGGTGCAAAACACTCCGGAGCCCTTGCAGATCTGGGACTTGGCAGGTGGTGTTGCCCAGCATGGGATGGACTGGATTCCCTGCCTGCTTTGGGGGTTCTTTGAAGAGCCCATTCTTCCCCAGCAATCCTGGCTCACGTGGGCTGGCTCGTGGAGGTTGGCTTTGCTCAGTGCTGTGTGATGTGTTGCTCGTGGGGTCTTGCTGGTACTCTGGCCCTGGGAGGGACCAAACCCAGTTTATAGCTTGGTTATAAAACACAGAAGTGCCTAGGATGGGTGTCTGGGGGCATGTGGCCTGTGCTGGGTTCTAGGAGTCCATGTGTTGAGTTGGCACAGGGTGGGGGAAACTGTCCTTTCACCTTGACCTTCACCTCCCCAAGCCAAACCATCATGATCGCCTGCGTGAGCCCATCTGACCGGGACTTCATGGAGACCCTGAACACGCTCAAGTATGCCAACCGGGCTCGCAACATCAAGAACAAGGTGGTGGTGAACCAGGACAAGACGAGTCAGCAAATCAGTGCCCTGCGGGCCGAGATCGCTCGCCTTCAGATGGAGCTGATGGAGTACAAGGCGGTGGGTAGCCAAGTGGGCTTGCAGAGGTGGGGTGGAGGCAGGAGCACAAAGCTTCCTCTTCTGTGTTTGGATTGGGGCGGTTTTATGGGAAAGACCCTCCTGCCTACTGCGCTCTGCCCCTCTTGACAAGGGGTAGTTGGTAGGAGAGGTCAGGAGGCTTAAGAGACGGGGGCTCAGCTCCTGCCCTGCCACAGGCAGGGCCTTGGGGATGCTGAGGCAGGGAGAAGCCTTGAAGCATCTCTCACCCTCTGCCTGTTGAGCTCAGGCCTTCTTGGTCCTTAGATTTGTCCCTGCCCTTGCTTTAGTGGCTGGGGCTGCCCCCAGGGGTGCAGTGGTGGGCCCCCATGTCCCAGTTTGCCCAGCACTCAGGGACTCCCCTGTGTCCCCACAGGGCAAGCGGGTCATCGGGGAGGATGGCTCGGAGGGCTACAGTGACCTTTTCCGCGAGAACGCCATGCTGCAGAAGGAGAACAGCGCCCTGCGCATGCGGGTGAAGGCCATGCAGGAGGCCATCGATGCCATCAACAGCAGGGTCACCCACCTCATGAGCCAGGAGGCCAACCTGATGCTGGCCAAGGCAGGTGAGGCTGGGCTAGTGTGTGGCGTGGTGGGTCAGCCCGGCTAGTGTAGCTGGGATGGGTGCTGCGGTACAGCCCATGTCTTGCCTTGATCCACCTGCACCTCTGCTCCTCCAGGTGATGGTAATGAAGCCATTGGTGCCCTCATCCAGAACTACATCCGCGAGATCGAAGAGCTGAGGTGAGTCACCTGGGGCTGGCGGGGGTTGTGGTGGGGTCTGAGCCCAGGGGTTGCTCACAGCTCAGTGTCCCGTGTCACTGGGCCGAGTTGCAAGCCCTGGTGGAATAGCAGCCGAGACCACAGGGGCTGTGGGAGTCCTAGCCAGTGCTTTGGGTGTTGTCATCTTTTGTGTGGCCTTCAATGGAGGCAGAGATCCTGGCAGGAGCAGCTGGTGTCTCCCAGGGACTGCTGGCCGCCCGAAGCTGGGTCCATCCCAGTCTCTTGCACAATCCTGGGACCCTGTCTTGCAGCGCCCTGACTTTCTGACACAAAAGGAATGGGAGTGTCTTTGTGGTGACTCTGTCCCTGGCTCACACCATCCTAATACCAGGGAAGATCCCCTCCTCTGGGGACACTGGGATGTCCCCTCTTTGACCACATTCCATCTCCACTCCTTAGGACGAAGCTCCTGGAGAGCGAGTCCATGAACGAGTCCCTGCGTCGCAGCCTGTCGCGTGTCTCTGCCCGGCCCCCGTACTCCATGGGCTCGTCCCCAGCATCTGGCTTGGCTGGGCTGTGCAGCCCCGCTGCTCCGGTGGAGACGGAGGCCTCCGACGTCCTCCGACGGGCCAAGCAGGACCTGGAGCGCCTGAAAAAGAAAGAGAGGAGGCAGAGGAGGAAAAGGTGAAGGCAGCTGCTGTGCAGCACTGGGAAGGGAGTGGCTGCATGTCGGTCGCAGTCTGTCCGTGTGGGGTAGGGTATTGTGCTTCTTCCCCATCCATGCTAAAGCCTGAGCTCTGACACAGAGCCCAGCCGCCTGGGTTCCCTTCCCAGCGCTGCCTTGCCCTTGGTCTCCTTTTCACCCACCACGCAATCCCTGAGGCTTTTTTCCGTGAAGGGTCCAAAAGCAGGAGGCAAGGGGGGCCCCAGCAGGACCTGCCCCTGGGCTCCCCCGCCCTGGACCCACCAGCACCCCGCTGCTCTCCCCTAGCCCGGAGAAGGAAGCGTTTAAGAAGCGGCAGAAACTGCAGCAGGACAATGGAGAGGAGACAGATGAGAATGAGGTGGAAGAGGTGAGTGGGCTTCGTGTTTATACCGAGGGGGGTGTTTGGGTGTGGAGCATTGGCATCGCCCCACGTGGGAGAGGGGCCAAGCCCACCCTGGCCCTGCAAACAGGCTGGAGGGGTCGTGGAGCCAAGGACTCCGTGCTGGAGTAGGAGGGAGCTGGATGCTCCCCAGCCCACACCTTTTTGGGGTTGGTTTCAACAAGCGTATGTGAAGGGGGGGGGTTGGGTGATGCAGTGCTGCTCGGCTGCGAGGGGACAGATGGGGCACAGAGCTGCTCCTCTCAACAGAGTACGCCGGGGGTCCCGAAATGGTGCTGCAGCCCCCGGGCAGCCTGTGTGGGGGGGGCAG